TTTAAAGCAGTGGCAGGATTTTATCCAGAATATTAGTCTCTATATGCATTCCTTTGTTTTAACAAACTGTGTTTGTTCCTGAACATGGGCTGCTTCCCAGGCTCTATCAATTTTTCATGCGCCTTTCACCCAAAACCCCATTATAGCTGAGACAGCCAAAGGGAAAGACCTACAGGGAAATACATGCTTACCTGTAAAATTTTCTCTTAAGAGCAGTCTGCATTGGGCACAGGGATAAGACCTTGCATGTGTGCATGTATTGTAACTGAGATTAATTACAACTGAGATAATTTAAATTTCACGGTGATGCCTGGAAATGAGCAGCTACACGTAACCTAATCAGCCTGTGGGGTGCAGTGCCTCACCCAGGAAGCCAGAGCATCTCTTCCTGCAGAAATTCCTGTTCTGCTCTATTGCCTGGCTGTATGCGCAACGTCTATTAAAAATGACTTGGGTTACAGATGGAATCCGTCTTGTTTCACTAGACACCATCGTTGCTATATTTAAGCAGGTGCTTTAAAACTAAAGTGAGTGAGTGTGCTGCAATGAATGAGAAATTTAACCATGGGGTTTGTTATCTAACAATTACATGACAAACACTTCACGCAGAGCTGCAAATGTGGTTGTAATCCTTTACTGAAGAAAGTATTTTTCTTTGTCTATATACAGCCTGCCAGCAATTTCCCAGGAACATCATCTACTGACATTTCTTTATCAGAAGAAACTCAGCCTCCATCTCAGTCCAGCTCCAGCTATGGTCTTCCCCCCAATGCTCCAGCCCTTTATACTCCAACTTACTTCTTGCCTGGAGAAAAGCCTCCACCATATGCACCATAGAACAAAGAATTTTAGGTAGCTCGTAGCCTTTTATTTTGTTTTTAAGAAACCTCTGGAAACTGTGCTGTGCAGGCGCCAGACCTCCCCAGGAACCCACTACAGAATGTGTCACGGCCACTCTGCTTTTACCCACATCTCACTGTGGGCAGAGCAGAACCCTGGAAACCTTGGGGCAGAGACATCACCAGTGGGGTGACCAGTTGCCACCCAGTTTGCTTGCAGTCAAATGCAGTGTTGCTTTCTGGAGACCATGAGACCTTCTTGCTACACTGTAGAATGAATTTTCTTCAAGAGGAGAAATGATGAAAACACCCTGGGTACATGTTCTGCTTTCGTAAACCAATGTAGGGGGGTTGTAGCCTGTGTTGTCTGAGTGGATAGTCAGGAGCTCTCCGAGTCAATCATTTTGGGTAGAAAGAGACCAGGTGTTTGTTTGCTTGTAGTATTTATTTAATAACCCTTTTTGGTGAAAGTGTTGTACCAATAAATAAAGTGTGGCAATTATTTTACAATAAAATTGACTGTGTGTCTGTGTGTATTTATACTATACCTAAGGCTGTGTATATTTGTAAGGACAGGAAAACCAAAGAGCAGTGGAAAAAAGTACCCTACCAAGTAGTTCCCTCTTTCAAGTTTCAAACAGAAAGGCTAATTTTATTGGGACTATTTTATTCTAACTTTGTGCCAGTCTAGTCTGTGTAGTAAAATGTCATGTCAGTGTGCTGAAGATGCAATTTCCAGACAGGTATTTTAAGCTGCACTTTAGTGTTCAAGTTAATTCCCTTCTAGTCAAAAGAGGACCACAACCCAAAGCACTCAATGTTAAACCTTGGTCACTTATTTTTAAACTGATCAAGACCTGATCCGGGTATTTCACAATGACTGAAACAGAGTGGGAAGAGGGTCAGAATTCCTTCTTTGTATTTTTTTTTATTATTATTATTTTATTTTCTCCTACTGTATAGAGACAAGTTGGCAAGGCTAAGCCACAATACCTGTAGCAGTGCCACTGACAGGAGCAAAGTCTTGTCCCTGTTGTGTGCACCCTGCCCTCTGGCTGTGCATCACATCAGCTGGGATCTCACTTAACACAGGGCTGCCATGTTTCGTGGGCAGGAGTGGCTACACCAGCATGAAAAGCCATCAGACTGCTGCATCCCTTCCCTGCATTCTGCTCCTGCAGGAAGGGTGGTGCTGCTGCTGTTTGCTCTATACATCTTGCAGTCCAGACAGCAACGAAGCTATAGACATTTCCTGAAAGGCCAAAGAGTAAAACAGGGAAAGGAAGGTATTTCTCATTAACTTTATAAGCAGCTGCTTCATATTATGAAAATATTCACAACCCCTATATAAACAAAACCAGCCTACTTCACAGTTTCCTTTGAAAGGAATTGACAACATCAGACCAGCTGAAAACAGAACAAGGAATGATCATCCTTTTACATAATACTTTCCACCTTTCAAGAAATTTCTGTTAATTCATATGTTATACCTCTGTGTATAAGTAGCAGATTCAGTACTAATACACATAAGATGAGGTTAATGGACTATAAATGCCATACTTTGTTCAATTAAGGTTTTTCTGAGATGCAAAGTTTTAGGCCAGTGATGTTATCATCAGTGACAAGGTGCCTTACTTGTATTGTTGACAGGGCAAGTTATGTGAACCTGGTTGAGAGAAACAGCAGTCAGAGAGGAAACTATTATTTTTCTTTTAAACAATTTAACACATCCAAAATGCTTAGTTCTTGTGCAAATGCATGCTGTGAAGAGCACAATGACCCTGATCATGAAATGAGTGGAACCACACATTTATACAATGACCCTGATCATGAAATGAGTGGAACTACAGATTAATTTCTTGTGACTTACTATGAATACTACCAGGGGTGCCCCCTGGGTTCATTTTTGGGACTCAAAGTCTT